GCCATAAAATAACCACTGAAATAACTAAATAACTAATACCTAATCTATATTTACGAGCATAATATGTTGCTAGTATTGTATGTTTTAAGGCGTTTTATGACGTATTAAGACGTTGTATGTTTTTATTTTGTATAAGAGGTATCTTTGATACTATAATGACTTACTTTGATCTTTATACAAAAGCCCTTGAATTAGTTTTGAAAATGGTTTTGAATTTGGTTTCTTTGTCTTTGGCTTTTGACGAAATCTATTGGAACTGAAAATACATGAGATTTATAGATACATAGTTAGATGTTTAATTTTTAGTATAATAGGTAGTACTTCTCTCGTGGCACGGAGACGGAGTATATCTAGTTTTTAAAGTACCCCTCACTGTCATTAAAATTATATATTGTGTACGTAGAATAATATTTAGATGACTTTTAATTTAAATTAAGTCCATAAGACAATATTATAAAAGTTTATAAAAAATACAAGCTATATTTAATATTTAAGTGTAATATAAATAATAATTTAAAATATATTAATGTATTTAATATACTCACGGATACGGTATTAAAATAATTTCTTCAGAGGAAGGAACATCCACCCAACCATCATCCTCGTCAAATTTACTGTTTCTGTCCACGCTGGCGCTGTCAGATGTAACACCTTTGAAACAATATAATTATMTATTAAAAAAGTGGACAAGTGCGCGACCACTCTGCCGCAGTATATTATGTATTAAGTGTATATCGTGTGATTTAGTCACATGTATATTACAGWTGGATTCAATTTAAGTTCAACAATAAATCTTTGCATAATATTGACAAAAAATAAATACAAAAAATGATTCTGAGCAGTGGCAATAGGTAAGCCTATACTACTAATTACATTTTATTATGTATTTATATTCCTTTTAATGGAAATTTATTTTATTTTCAATATTAAAATAAGTTGAATTAATTTTTCTCAAAACATAGAATTTATGATACCTATCAAATATTATAACAGTATGTACTTATAAGTTATAAGTTATATTAYATTAWATTTTTTAAGATGATATTCTACAGTAAAATATAGTTATATCTTATGCAAAAGTTACACACGAATAATATTTTTAAATTAGAATGAAATAAATAAAATCGTTTTTCTTCATTAACACAACCAATTCCGTTAAAATTTGAACTTAAATTGTCTTTAAAGTTTAAAGGATATTTTGCTTTTATATTTTTAGAATTTAAATTCTCTAAGGGCCATTAGGTCACTCATAAAAATGTTTAGAGACGTTAGATACACTAATTTTTTTTTTCTAATTTCTATTAATGAATTTATAGAAATCTCATATCTGTTTTGATATCTTAGGTGCTGAAATTTAAAATTTGACGAATTTTTATTTCTGAAACAACTGCAATTTTTCGTGATTTMAATAAATTTGATAAAAGTTGGAATTTTAACCACTTCTACAACAAATTATGACTATGCATTCTAATATGGAAAGAATAAATGATTAGGATTTTTGTATTAAGTTCATAAATAAAAATTATTGGATCATAGAACTTAACTACGGACTAAATACCTGTATAAAAGTTACGTTACATGTTTTGAAACTTTGTAGGTATAAAGAAGAATTATTGATTTTATTACCAGATGAAGTGGATTCCGACGGCGGATTGATTCCATAAATACTGTTGTCGATTTCTACCGAATGATCAAACATCTCTTTTTTCTCATGGCGGCTGTTTTCATCGGCATCGCTATCGACCGGAATTTGCGGCGGTGACGTGTCRACTTCTGCGACAGGGACGATCGTCGGAATCGGAATTGGAGGCAACGGGGGTTGAACTGTCTCGTAGCTGGTGTCTTCGTAGGCAGTGGTGGCGGTCGTAACGACGTCGTATATGTTTTGTTCGCCACCATCAATCGTTGAATAGTGATCGTACGGACTCTCCAAAACGATGTATGGGCTCTCCAACTCAATTTTTGGCAACAGCGCTTCTGTGGTATGGGTACCAGAGTCGGATGACRTTAGTCGTATGTAGCCCAGTTCTTCGTAGATGGATTCGTCACCGACTATGTAATTGTAGTTGTGTGAACAGGTTTCGGTAGTAGTGTCGGCAGTGAAAGCAGTGGTGTCCGTGCCGAAGCCAGTAGCGGTGAGGGTAGCATCAGCTAGGGACGTGATCACGGAACCAATGGGAGACGACAGTAGCTGCAACGATTGTACCTCGCCGACGGTATGTCGTTCGCCTTTACTGTAAGGAGGGGTGATTGGTGCAAGGGTAGTTGTAGTGGAGGTTGTTGTAACGGGAATAATTGTAGTGAGGGTRGTTGTAATGGGGGCGGTTGTAGAGGGAGTAGATGTATTGGGGGTAATGGAAGCGGTGGTAGTTGTCGTCAACGTGGTCGGTCGTTTCCAACCATGCAAAAAGGAACAGTTCGGTTTCAGCGGTAGCGGCGGCGGTGACCTGACCGAAGCTGTTTCTGTTGGTTGTTGCTGCTTCGAGTCTTCTCGTATTGGTGATCGCTCCGTTTCAATTGGTTGCTGCTGCTTCGAGTCTTCTCGTGGAGGCGATTGCTCCCTTTTCATTGGCTCCTGCAGGTTTTTCAGCGGAGGCATCACGTTTAAAACGCTCTCTAACTGAGCATCAGGATCTCTGGCAATCGATAAACGTTTATCCTTGTTCAACAAATGTCTGTCCCCCGTGCCAATCGTGTCCTTTTGAAGAGGTGGTCTCCGTTCATTGCGTCTAATGCTGCGAGACGTAACCACGGTTGGTTTCGGTCCCAGGACACTGGGTTTCGACGGTTTCTTACCATTTTCAAACTGCACCAAGAGCTTTTTCACTACAGACGACGAAGTGAACTGGTTGATAGTATTCCGCTGTTCGGATGTGAAATTGTTCGTGGCAGTGGGGTGGTGTAGCGTGGTGATTTGCTGTTCCRCGCCAGTCAGACGATCTGCGTCCTCCATCTTTTGTTCTACGACAGCCGGCTGTTCTATGGAAATGGAATGTTCCACGGCAGTCAGATGATCAGCTGCTTTCCGTTGTTCCATGGCAGTCTTCTGTTGTATGGCAGTAGGGCGTTCCACGACAGCCGGCCGTTCCGAAACAGTCCGCTGGTTCGAGTTGGTCCGCACTACGACCATCTGGTTGATACAACGCTTCTTTTGCGAGGTCGACTCAAACTTTTCGACCGTGGCCCGTACCACGACGCCTTTTTCCCGGACCTTTGTCGTCCTGACCGAAGAGCCTTTGGCTAGCGTTTTGTTCACCTTTTTCATGATGTCCTGCATCGAGTCGCCCTGGTTGGCGTCCACCACCACCGCGTTGAACTTTGACGCCAGCTCTGCGACCATAGAGGACGGCACCGACACTCGGATCGTCTGGTAGCCCTTGAAACTCCCTGTTCGGTTGACGTGCGTCCCGGCACCGCAGCGTGACTTGAAACTCGAACGTTTTATCTTGCCGCCCCCAGTAGGCAGTACGGAGCTGGTCGTCATTTCTGTGATCATCGCGTCGGACTTCTTAAATCAAACGTAGATCCTGTTTTTGCAGCTCACGTGAACGAGGATCATTATTCCTGCGCAACAGAAGAAAATTCAATTTATTACGATTCGAAAGATTCATAAACGATACTCAATATTATACTCTAAGGCATCGCACTAACTTAGCCTATTCGAGAGGTGGGAAAGAGTAAATGTTTTGGAGGTTCAAACCATACCGATAACACATTTCATACGTCATTAACTCTTAAGAATGYATTTTTTTATTTCAACAAACAAATAATATTAAATTCTAAGACATTTATTTGCATATATTTATTTCTTAGAATATTTGTCTTGTTTAATAATTATGCAATGCTTTTTATAATCTTTAAGACTTTAATTAATTTAAGTATATACTACAGGCTACAGTAAACAACTTAATAATTTAATTACAATCACAGATACTGTGGTCATGGCCGGCGTGAATAATTTTTCGTGAAGGATGGGGGGGAGGGGGTGTCAAAGTAATAAAATGCTGACTTAAATATTTATTTCACCAACATGAGTTTAATGGGACATTTTTGTAAAAACGTTATGTACAGATTAATAGCTAATATTAAAACAATATAATATAGTAAGTTAATACAAATTTTTATTGAAATACTTTTTTCAAACTAATATTTATGACAAAAAAAAAAATTAAATTTATTCAAAAGTAACTTTCCTAGTTAACGAAAAAATCCTATTAAAATTAAAATTTGTAAGTACTTAATAAACGTATTTAAATTTATAATTCACTTCTATATAGATATATAAAAAAAAATTAAATTTTGATTCGACATTCTTTTAATGCTGCCTAATTGGTTATAAGATCTTCCAAATTTAAGTTATCCACGATATCTTTGGCTGAGTTTAAAATCATGAGGTCATTCAGTCTATTTGATGTAATTGTTGTACGAAGATGATTTTTAATAATTTCTAATTTACTAAACGAACGTTCGTTAGAGGCTGTTGTTACAGGGRCTGTAAATACTAATCGAAAAAGTGAATTTGCTAAAGAAACAAGAGTTTTCAACGATTCAGAAACATTCAAAACYTTCTCTAATGTATTTTTTATGGTCCATTTTATGATGAGGTATATTAATTTGACATAATATATAGCATCATAATCAGTTATCACTTATCAATGAAGCTTCATATGAAGGTGGAAATAATCCACAAGCTTTTTCGACATCTTCAGTTGTAATATCACTTTTTATTGGTATGCTAGATATTTTAAATATTAGTTCAACTATTTTTAAACAGTCGCTTAAGTTATTAGCAAATTCATTAATTATCGTGTCCAATGCCTATTTAAATTCTTTCCTGTAAAATGTTTTTAAATTAAATATTGCTTTTGTAGAAGAATCACAGTTATTTTTTTTTTTTTGTTAACTTCGTTGTTTGTTCAACCTATTAAAATCTGCATTAGAATCAACATCAAATTTTTTAGCAAATATTACAACAATGTTTTTGGACTTTTCATTTACGAAAAACTATTTTATTTTTTTTCGACGACCTCTATTTAAATCGTAATTTTGCCAATGCAATCCAATCAAATTTTCCGAGTGGTGGGGGGGGGGACCCCCCCCCACACACACACACACACACACTCTTTAACGCGGCCCTGGCTGTGGTTTATAAAAATTATAAATAACTAAAATATTCATATCAATAAGTGCCGACATAATTTAATCTCATGGACGATTAGAAAAAAAAAGATAGTTTAACCTATAATTTTTTTATAAAAAATTCAAACAGTTACTTGTTAAAAAATACTATATCTATATTCTATATATACATACATAATACATATGTTTTATGTAATAATATATATTATAATGTCACATTATGTATTTTGTGTAAAAACAACTAAACGGCGTATTTATTTATGTAYACATCATAATTTAGGTATTCTGGAAAAATKCAGTTCTTCACTCATATTATGTTACATAACACTTTATAATTATTACACATATATTAAGGTCGATGAAAGGTTTCTTTGTTTTCGAAATAGTGGTTTATGACATGTTTACGTGTATAATATGTTTATGTCGTACCCAACCTAATATCTTACCATCCATGGGTTAAAATACACCTTTTTAAAAGTATAATATATTTAATCGAAACGTTCTATTAATATACCAAAATGTTTTTTATACAACAAAATAAAGTTGTATAAATTAAATTAATTCATTAGTTGTGAAAAATCAGAATATCACATTATAAAAAAATATTAAAACATATGCGTAATATTTACATGATGTAAATACACTGTTACTCGATGATCCCGAAAATTAAAAAAAAAAAAGGTTTTTGCCCATTATTTAGAACAGGTTTATAAGTAGTACCGTTTAGGCTTTAATATTTATAAACTTGTACGCGTGTCGCGAGGTCGTCTATTTTCGAACCGGACCTTAAAAATTGTGTTATTGCACGTCGTAGTTAAACACAAGTCATGTAGTATGTCCGTGTACGATGATAAAGCGATATTTATATTGTCGACACACCTTGACGACTGAACCAACTCTAGATGTTGTTGTTGTCGTCGTTATCGTTAACGGACTGGTGATAAAAGCATAATATGGTGCGTAGACACTGTCGCAACAACACTCATCAACTCACACACGCAAACAAGCGCCCTATAATACATTTTACGTTGTGGCGTAAGCATTATATCACTATGTTAAGGATCCAACTCATCTGAAGAACCACATCAGATGACTTATCTTATGTTGGTCTACAACGGTAATTACTAAAAATTATACATTTTTTAAATATCAAATATTTATGATTATTTGATCATTTGTTATAGTTTCTGATTTCTAATATTGAATAATATAATAGGTAGAACATCAAAGGTACCTACCTACTTATCGAGTTATCTAATTCAAAAAGCAGATAAATGGTTTTTTTTTTCAAAGTGTTTTTCATCCAAACTCTGAATTATATCAATAAATATTTWATTGTGGCTAACATAATATAATTATGATTGTGATTTAATTAATGTATTTTGCACCCGTATAAATTAGTTTTCCGTGTGACCGCGTGCATAATGCTACTGACAACGGCGACACAGAAAATGGGGTTGTATGTAYGTATTATTGCTTACATAAACAGGTAATAATAAATAAATTAATATGCGCACACATACTCCAGTGGCGTAACTACTAACTAGGATTTCTAGGTACATGTTTTTAGTGGGAGGTAAGGAGTTATATAATATTATAAGTTATCAATCAAGAAATATATTTCCATTACATTGTTTTATACAATTTACTTGTATTTAAATATTATCATAATATTATGACAAACTATTATTATAACACATATTAATTACAATTTATAGGAATAGTTATAAACTAGGTCAGTAAAATAAAATAAAAAAAAATTCAATTTGAATGATCATAATAAGTACTAACAGAGTTATGGTTAGGTTAGGGAGGTGGTGGGGCTGGATTCAGAGTCCACCCCTTCGTTGTGCCACTGACACACACACACACACATACCTACAAATACACACATGCGCACACGCACACACACGGCTTATATTATATATGGTTATTATTGAACCATACTCGACTTCATCTTTAGATATATACATATATATATATATATATATATACATATAATATAGACACGTGTTCGTCGGGCGTAGGAGTGATGAGGGCGGCGCCGGTGAGATAACCTTTCGAAGGCCTCGCTATGTGCGGCAAAGACCTCAAGCCAATATTTTTGTATAATATTATGATGATGGCGACGGGAGCAGAGTCATCGAACTCTACGTGCGCGAATATCAACTCTTTATGACATTCGGTCTCCCTCCGAAAATTAAGACACACGGTCGTATCGGTACAGCATCCAAACCACCAGAGAACACAAAATATGTTTTTTTTATTTATTCATATGCTTATTTATTGCGATTCGATATCAGTCACGTCTTAAACTTCAAACTGACCTACGATGATGTAAAATTATATCTATCACAACACCTACATCGAGTCAAACACACATTTTTAACGTTTTACAGCATTTGAAACGTCACTGCAGCCGAGCTGCAGTGAAGCGTGTGACGCGTGGGTTTTAAGTTTTAACTTATATTATAGTCACTATAATATACTTCTGGGTATACATTTTGGTACACTATTTTTAAGACCAAGAGTTATATCGATTTACGTCATGTTACGTGTAATGCGTTGTAAGAAATTAAAAATCTATGTATCTTTTGTCCCGCMAGAATTACATCTTTGTATGAGAAACAAAAACTTTAAATTATGGTATAAAATTATGTAATTTAACATTAAATTAATGTCATAAAAATCATTCTTGAAAGTTGAAGTAACTGTGTAATTTTGTAAAATGTTTTTAATTGTGATTTATTAATCGCTAACTAGTGATTAATATATATAAAAAAAAAACAATGATGAATAAAAATAATCACCAAATAGTCACTAACTTTACTAATACTTAGTTATTACGCGCTTTCATCATATAAGTGAAAAAAAAACAATATAACCATTTATAATATAAATAAATAAATTATAAATAAACCTAAAGATGCTTAGTTTTTCGAATAAATGCTTGTTTTATTTGATCAGTTTATCATTCATAAATCGGGTTTAAATATTTAATGTTGATTTTTAATTATTAATATACAATGCATTTTATTCTTAAAGTTTATTAAAAGTATTATAGAAAACGAATAAATCGGATAAAACATAATATTATACATAGCTATAATAGCTATATATGACATACGGTTTTAAACCATATTTATATATTTGTATTTCCTAATTTTATATACGTTTTCATTTATCATAATTATTCATCTCGTATACTCAATATAATATTATAATATATTACTCATTATAATTAATTCATAATTGCGTGTTTTATACATATACTTATTGGCAATATGTTTTGACGCTTCGTATGCATGCATTTTGCATTATATAATAAAATATAACTCTCTCGACTTAAAATTTTTCATTACTTATAAAGTTGTAACTATTACATCTTCCTACTTTTTTATGTTCACATACATATGTATTTACCA